AATACGTAACAGATAAACTCTATATACTTTAAATTTATCCAAAACATAGTGTAGCGAGAGTTCTTCATAATACCTATGCACGATGAACTTTTCTACAGCTAATATTAAAATAATAATAATAATATTAGAAAATATAAATATCAAATCATAAGATTATTTATTATATCTGATATAGATTCGAATTATAGATAAAATCCTGGATATAAGAGCTACGTATCATCTGTAGGAGCGTTTTGCACCTGTTAGGATTGACAACAACCAAAAAAAAAATTGTAGAAGTTGAATTTGAAAATTTCTTTATCTTGTAAATAAGGAATTATCTAGAGTCTGCTTTTTTGGCTAACCAGTAAATATTATTGATTCAATCAATAAAATATAACCATAAAATGTTACTTCTAAAATCATTTCTATAATCATCACAATACCCATTATATATAAGACTTACCATTACTTTTGGTGAATATTTCTCATCATTCAAATTTTCCAGATCTAGGATGAAAATTTTAGCCTCATGTACATCCATATACAAATCTTGTGGTATCATTTCTGTAGAAGTTTTCTGAGATTATACCTTTTCAAAAATTGGTTTCCCTTTAAAGATTTCTTAATATGACATCACATTGTTCAAACTTTCCCAATCCATATACATATCTTGCAGCATGCTCTCTATGTATAAAAGTTTCCTGAAATGACAATCCTTTAAAAATTCCTTTTTCTTTAAAGGTTTCTTAAAATGATGTCATCATTCAAGATTTCCAAATCTGGGATGAAAATTTCAGATTCATACTATAAGTCTATATACAAATCTTGAGGTGTTGTTTCTTCAAAAGTTTTCTGAGATAGCACCTTTTCAAAAGTTCGTTCTCCTTTAAAGGTTTCTTGAGATGACACTTCTTCGAGATGGAATTTTTTAAAAATTTTTGATACGTAATATTTGGACTTTTGAAGATCAATAATCAGTTTAGGTAATTCATTAATTGCAATACCTAATTGATAATAAATAAATTTAATTATAAATTTATACGTATAATTTGTTATAGTTAGAAAGTTGTACTTTCTTACTGGTTACTTGAAGATAAGAATTATTTAAAGATAAATAAATATTTAATAAATAAGTTATTGCTTTCTCACCAAGCCTACAACATACTACGTATACTATTTAACCTTATACACTTTATGGGTTTATTTTATTGTAATCAGATCAGACTATTTAACTAGAGTAAAGCTTTTTCAATGCTGGTAAGCATCTAATATAATCTGTGTATTTGTTTTTGTAGTCTACTATAACACCGTATTGATTTGGTACCTAATCACAGTTTGCAATCAAGGATTATTGACAAATTGATATTTAAATATCTTTTATACATAATATACATGTTTGAAAATTTTATACTAACATTATTAAAGCCAAGCGATAAAATGTTAGGTTACTTCTTTCGGCTCGAGGCATATAATAGCATTATTAACCACCTACTAGTAAACTTTTAGAATAGTTTTTTAACGAACTATTTTCATTTAGCAAATTTAGTAGCTAAAGTATACTTCTGTATACATATTCTTTTTCCGAAACACTTCATAACAAGTAACATGGAAAAGACTATTTGGTATCATTTATAAGTAAGGTTTTTAGTAAGCTTGTATAATCTTTTTCATCACCCTTCTGAATCAATTAATTTCGTTGCCGCAATGCGTAGTAAGAAATTCATATAAGGTAGAGATATTTAGATAATAAACACTCATAACCTTGTTTTTCGAATATATTGTTAAAAAAAAAAAAAAAAAAGAACTAATACGTACGTAGCAAGAAAGTGAGTGAACTTCTAAATTTCGATATTGAGTTTTGACTATCCAATCATATTCTAATACATGAAACCCCACACCAAACTGGGAATTGTGTCTAATTATATATTGATCTACATATTGCATAAATCGTATTCTTGATATTTCTATAAACCACTTACTCTAAATGTATCAAAAAAGCAACAAAAGCTTGACACTGCTTTAGTAATTTATAAACAGATAAGCAAATTTGCTATTACTCTGATCTTGCCCCCGATATTAGATGTTACAGTACAATCTTCTAACCCTTGAGCTTTCAAAACGTTGCACCAATTAACCCTAACCCTTTTACGTCAAAGAAGTTCTTTCAGTTTGCAGTATTCAGCGCTAATCACCTGACTAGATAAGCGGGTGCTCTGGCAAAGATATAAATCTAATAACTAGGTTAAGCCCTTTTGTGTTCTATACTAACCACCTGACTAGATGAGCAGGTGCTCTAGTATTAGTTGTAAATCCAGTATTCTGTACTAACCACCCAACTAGATGAGCAGGTGCTCTGGTAAAAATATAAATCTGAGGATTTAATTTAAGGCTTTTTTGTTCAGTAAAATTATTTTTTTCTATTTTAATTTGACATTTTAACAGATTTTATCAAAAAAAAACTGTTATTGGGTGCAACAATTTCTTATTGGGGTTTAGACTAGATTTACTGCTACATAGTTATATGTAAGAAATTCATTAGGTTTATAAAGAATTAATCTTGCTTAACCTGGTGTTTTCTTACA